TTTATTTGTTAAAATTCTGTATTAAGTCATAGACATGTTCCATTGAACTGTTTTTATTTTCGAGTATATGCTTGCAACTTATGTCTCTTAACAAACATATTTTTACAACTTCCTCTTATAGAATATGTTTTTGTCACACTTTCTCCAAATATACTTTTTTGTAAATACTTTCTAATTGGTAAAGTTGCACTGAAAAATTTAGAAAGCATATGTATTGGTGTCAACTGTATTTCAGTTATTAAGTTATTAAGTAAAAAAAATAGTTGGAAAGGTCTATGTTAAAATGCAGACTTACCTCAGCTATTGTAATATTTATTTTAACTTCCAACCACAGTAACCAGATGGTTGAAATATATAATCTATCACATCTGCAGAAACCAGTGTGAGAAGTCTGGCCTGTATTTTCCATATCTGCTAAAGCTATGGATGGCTATATTGATGGGTTTATTTTTTCATTCCCCCTTTTCTTTTAATGTGTAGATTTATGAAGAATCAAAAATGAATTTGGAACAAGAGAGACCTTTTGTCTGCAGTGCCCCAGGCTGTTCACAGGTGAATTAAACCTGCAAAAATAAAGCTGTAGTAGAGTTCCACCATGCTAACCTATCATAATTTCAAATTTTATTATATAATTTAAAGTGCTCTTTCCCCTTGCAGCTTCATGCCATAAAACACAAATTCATAATAAATATGGCTATTTTGGTTAGTATCAATGAACATGCCTCAGAACAAGTTACATGCCTAACCAAAATATACCCATAAGAAACATTTCTTCATTAAAATATTTTATTACATTAATGTAATCTAGGTTTTAAGATTGAATAGACCATAAGGGTTAAATAACAGTTATCCTGAAGAAAACATCTGAAAAACAGAACATTTGAGGATGCTTTTTAGGATGGATAATCATCCTTTTCTGCATGATATCCTGGAAGAAGTAAAGCCAGATAATTCTGAAGGAGGCCTCCTCCAACTTCTTACGCTGTGTTGTTTTGTTCCCTGACATACTTGTAAAAAAAAAAACCAGAGCATGCCTATAAAGGTCTAAACCATTCATATGCATGAAGTAATATTAAATAATTGGATGTGCAAAGGGTATTTTGCAAAGGACATAGTCCCAGCTGATGTATGTCCGCTGAACACTTGTATAGATACAAGGGACAATATTCAAAGCTGTTGGTACTCCCTTTCTCATCACAGAAATACTTTAATGCTTGCTCACCTTCATCTGATCTGCTATAAGAAGCACCACTTTTGAACGTTTCATACAAATCTATTAATAAGGTGACCAACCATCCTCCTTTAGGGAGGACAGTCCTCCTTTTGTAAGTTTAATCATTTTATTTATTTATTTTTGTTAATTGCTTACAAGATAACAGGTATAAGTAAAAACATAGTTATGAATACATGGATACATATAAGAAAAATAAAAATAAATAAAAGAAACAATAGGACAGGGACGGTAGGCATATTGGTGCACTTATGCACGCCCCCTACAGACCTCTCAGGAAAGGAGTGAGGTCAATAGTAGACAGTCTAAGGTTAAAGTTTTTGGGGTTTGGGGAAGAAACCACAGAGTCAGGTAGAGTATTCCAGACATTGGCCATTCTGTTGCCAAAGTCGTATTTCCTGCAATTAAGTTTGATGCGATTAACCTTGAGTTTATATCTATTGTTTGCTCTTGTATTGTTATGGCTGAAGCTGAAGTATTCATTGACAGGTAGTAGGACATTGCAATGTATGATTTTATATACTATACTTAGATCGGACTGAAGGCAGCGTAGTTCTAGGTTTTCTAGGTCTAGAATTTCAAGTCTGGTGGCATAAGGTATTCTGCAACAAGTGGAGGAATGGAGAACTCTTCTTGTGAAATATTTCTAGACTTTCTCAACTATGTTAATATCAGATATATAATGTGGGTTCCAGACTGATGAGCTGTATTCGAGTATTGGTCTGGCAAATGTTTTGTATGTTATTAGTGTAATATTACCAGAGAAAAAGCTACGTAAGATTAGGTTAACAACTCTTAACGCCTTTTTGGTTATGTAGTTACAGTGGGCTCTAGCACTTAGATCATTAGAGATGAGTACTCCAAGATCCTTGACAGAGTTTGGATCATCAACAAGGTCTTGACTATTCAGTCTGTATTTTATTTTTTGATTTTTTTGCCAATTTGCAGGACAGAGCATTTATTTGTTGAGATTTGAAGTTGCCATTTGTCTGACCATTCTGATACATAGTCAAGGTCTTTTTGAAGGGTAGCAGTATTGTCTGTGGTGTTGAATAGCTTTACATCATCAGCGAAGAGAACGCAGTTGCTCTTGATATGATTACAGAGGTCATTTATGTAGAGTATGAAAAGAGTTGGTCCTAGAACACTGCCTTGGAGGACACCACTGTTGACAAGTACAGAATTTGATAGGACACTCCCAATTTTGACCATTTGTTGTCTGTTTGACAGGAATGCTTCTATCCAGTTATGCAGGTGTCTAGAGATACCATAAGATTTTAATTTTAGGAGTAGTTTGTCATGTACCACTGAATCAAAGGCTTTACAGAAGTCTATATAGATTGTGTCTATTGCTTTGCCCTGATCGAGTTGTGTAGTCCATATGTTTTTGCAGTGTAAGAGTTGGAGATTACATGACAGTTTTTTCCTGAAACCAAATTGTTTATTAAAGAGTAGGTTGGTTGTTTCTAAGTGGAGGATGATGGATTGGTTAATAATTGATTCCATGACTTTACAGGTGACGTAGCATAAAGAGATTGGTCTGTAATTTTCAATTAGGCTGGGGTCTCCCTTTTTGAAGATGGGGATGACTGTGGCTTATGACCATAGTTTTGGCAAGGAGTTGGTCATGAAAGATTTTTTAAAGATTCTGCTTAGAGGTTCAGCTATGGCAGTGGATAGCTTTTTTAAGAAGTAGGCACATATTCCATCCGGACCAATAGATAGAGACGGTTTTAGATTGCTTAGTGCTTTTTCAACATTGTCTTCTGTAAAATCAATATGTATTAGATGTTTGTAGTTGTCTGTGGTTCGACTAGGAAATACTGGGCATGATCCATTGCTGTTTACAAATACTGAGCCAAAGAATGTGTTAAAGAGGTTGGCTTTAATAGTGTCATCGTTGCTGTCTTTACCACTAAGTTCTTTCAAGGGTGGGATGGACCTTGAGTCTTTTAGTTTGTTGTTTACAAAATTGTAGAAAGTGTGGGTGGAATTGGTGCGTTGAAGGTTTTCTTCTTGTTTAATTTGATAATGGGTGCATTCAGTTCTTATCTGGTGGCATAAATTTTTGTATCAGCTTTTGAAGTTGGCAACATGACCAGATTTGTTTTTCCACCAAAGTGATTTCTTTTTGGATTGAAGTTTCCTTATTGTTTTGGGTAATTTGTTTTTTCTGGTTTTGGGAGTTGTTAATGGCACATATAGTTTGATGACTCTTTTGATAAAAGTGTGCGGGCAGGATGTTGCCCATGTTAGTAGTGTATTTAGCTTGTTTGCATGTTCAACGTCATAATCCAGGGCTCTGTAAGAACTGAAATGTGATATTTAAGGACAATTCACAGACGATGGTTTCAGGAATAGCAAGCTCCTGGGTAACTTGGATGTTTTTTAGATGTAGGAACTTTTTATAGAAAATAGCAACACCATCTCCTCTACAGATTTCATGATCTGATCAGTAAATATGATAGTTTCTTACTGTGGTAATGGAGTCAGGGAGAGGTGCGTTGAGCCATGTTTCACAGACAAATATAATGTCGAATTCAGCCATATTTAGTAAGAGGAAAAATTCAGGTATTTTATTTATAAGGCTTCTTGCATTGAGTAGCTTGCATTTAAGGCCAGTTGTGGTTGGGATAGAGGTAGTTAGGGGCATGTGTGCCTAGTTTAGAGTGATGTTGGATTGGATGGGTTGGGGTTGGATGTGGAGTTTTGGGTTGTGTGACTTTCTTTTGATGCAATCAGCTCTGTAGTCAATTTATAGGTCGTTTTCTCCATTGTCTCCCTCAAAAAGTGTCCTCCTACATGTCCTCCTTTCTGATATTTGAAGACTAATCTGTAAATCTCCATATTTGATCGATGCCAATCCGATCCATTGTGTGTGATGTGACATATTTGTATTTGATGATTCATCAAGGCTCGGTACAGTGCAGTGAATAGAATAAAATAAAATACTCTATTGGCCAAGTATGACTGGACACGCAAGGAATCTATCTCAGTGTAAATACTGTCAGTATACATAAAAGAAAAGATACATTCGTTAAGAATCAAGAATCATAACGTACAACACTTAATGATAGTCATAGGGTACAATCAACAATCAAATCATACTAGGAAACAGTCAATATAAATCGATGCAATTATGAGACACATGTGCTCCACACAGGAGAATTGTTTTGAAAGAGTGTGCCATGCGCAAGAGTGCACTGTGCGCAAGAGTGCATTGTGCACAAGAGTGCGCCATGCACAAAGTGCGCCATGCACAATTGGCTTTGTTTTTTTTCTTTAATTTATTTGTGTCTTCCTTTTCATTGTGAAAAAGTTGGTCACCTTACCATTAATCATTGCCTTAGCTATTCACAGACAGTTTCTCAGAGGATAATAATATCAATAGATAATTTCAATATGTTCATAAGATTGTATATCCCAAAATGTATTAACCAGTGGCAAACCGGAAGACAGAAAAGCAAAAACCACATAGACCAAAAAAATGAAAACTTTTTCTTTGGAAAATGTATAATTTATTTATTTATTAATTTTTTACTCCACTTAAGTAACTTTGGCTGGTTTACAACAGTGACATGAAATATTCTTTTAAACTCTTACATTTAAATAACAAGAAAGCTTTCAGTCACAATTGTTTCCATCATTTAATTTCACTCATTCCTCACATTCCTTATTTGTCATTTTAATGCTTGGAATATTAAAATAAAAAATAAATTTCCAGTCCTTATTTCAGGAGCTGAAACTTTTCACTGTCTTTATCCAACAGCGCTTTCCAACAGAAGACCATCTGATGATCCACAGTCACAAACATGAAATGACTTTGAAGTTTCCTTCACTAAAAACAGACAACATGTTATCAGGTGAGAAGACAGGTATGAGAAAGATATTTAGTTGTCTATTTTGTTCTGATAAGGATGAATACGAATGTTCTGGAGCTATTGGATTGTGTGCAAATGAGGCAAATATAATTGTTCTCTTGCTTTATGCCAGGGGCGTCAAACTCGATTTCATTGAGAACCACATCAGGGTTGTGTTTGACCTCAGGAGGTGGGTGGGATGCGTTTGGCCATGGTGGGCATGTCCAACTCGACATCACTTGTGTCAAAGGTGCACGTGGCAGCCCAAGTGCTCTCCCAGCTAAAATGGGCTCCTGAGCTCCATTTTCAGCTGTGATGGCCTCCTGCAATACTTTGACAGTGAAAATGGAACTTGGGAGAGCTGTATGCAGTCTTCCTGAGCTCCATTTTCACTGGCAGAAGCATCGCGGGCCAGTCCTTTGCTGTTTCCAAGGTGAACTCGCAGGCCAGATCTAAGCACTCTGCAGGCTGCATCTGGCCCATAGGCCTTGAATTTGAAATCCCTGCTTTATGCCATGAGTTAGTTCAGATTTTCTGGTCCATGTACAGCAAGCTGAAATCAACAAAGTATACAGACACAGTAAGTCCCCAAATGACTTAAAATTATAAGTCCAACACTCCTTTGTATAAATTAGTCATAAATTATTTGGTTGCTTGCACTTTGTTGTTGGTATTTGTCATTGCAACACATGACCAATATAGAAACTATTCCCCAAATGTATTAAAAACCTTAAATACCTCCTTCACAGGGCACCCTATGAAAAGACATTTGTTTGACCTTGTATTGTACTGAATCAGATGTCTTTGGGGTTTGAGATTGGACATCAGTGATGTGGAAGCTGGTCACAATATCATGAAAGGAGAAATGCTACTTTTATACTAAAAATTGCGACTTTTAACTTTGCAAAAAAGAAGCAGGAAATCTTCATAGTAATGTTTCTGAACCTTGAAGACTTTAAGATGTGTGGATTTTCTTAAATTTCCCAGTTAGTAGAGTGCTGAGTACTGAGAAACAGTGCTGTATTTTCTCCCCATTGTTTCTTGCACTGTTTCCATTGGTTTCCATTGGTAGGTTTCAGCCCTTGCAACTTGGTTGATTGTAAAAGTTGGAAACCAGCTATATACAACTGGACAGTGGATATAGTTGTGCTAGGAGCTTATTTATACAATAATGCATGTACATAATTGGATTATGGAAGTTCAGAAAGAGGGAGGGAAGGAGAGAGAGAGAGAGAGAGAGAGAGAGAGAGATGGCAACCAACCTAGATGGCTTCCAAAAGAATTTTAAACAAATAAGTTACTAGTTATGAAGTCTATATCTTAACTCAAGGATCAAAGACAGCCTGCAATTGGTCCTGCTTCATGTTCTGCTGTTGGGCTTCTCACAAACACTGGCTGGTGAGAAAGAAGACAATACACTAGAGAGGCTTTTGGACTAATCTATAAGATGATTCTTTACCTAATCTATTTCCTCATGTTTGCATGGAATGCATAACTTATGTCTGAACAAAATCTGTCTTGCTTTGCCATCTGTTGTGGATAGTGAAAGTGGTGGTGATAGCAGCGGTGAAGAAAATTCAGCTCATATCTATTCCATATAAAGTAGTATACTTTTCTGTTCTGTTTAGCTCCCAATCCTCCACAAAAACGTTGCCCAAACATTTGCAGTTAGTATCATACAGATGTTATATATTTCTTTCTTTTTCTTTGCCACATGGTACTATCTCAGTTACTATCCCTTTTCTAGCCCTGCAGGAGATTTGAGGTGGTATATTGTACTGTCCAGGTGACATGGCCCATTTAGCATACTAGTTCCTTCACTGCAAAATGTAGCTGTTCAGCTAAAGATTAGCAGTACATTACATTAAAGAACAAGCATTTTCAGTATTCATTGCAGTACCAACTTAGTGTAGTGATTAAGGTACCAGTCAGAAACTGGAGGGAGACCATGAGTTCTAAGCTTGCCTTAACTATGAAGTCTGCTAAGGGTTAGTCATTCTCTCCAGCCCTCGAAGGTAGGCAAGAGCAGACCATTTCCAAAAATCCTTGCCAGGAAATCTGCAGTGACTTGTCCGGGCAGTTCCTAAGAGTTAAGACTGGCTTGGACTCACACATGCATGCACACACAAGGCACATAAACACAAACACACACACACACACACACACACACACACAGTGGTGGATTAAGGCTCGCTGGTGTCCTAAGCGCTGACAAATCTTGGTGCCCCCCTCCTATGTACATACTGTACAAATGAAGCCAAGCTTAGGCTACATAAAAGTTTTTGCGGTGCCCCCTTTGGGCCTGGTGCCCTAAGCATCTGCTTAGTCTGCTTAATACATCACTGCACACACAATATATCTTTCCATCACCACTTTTCCTCCATCCATTATAGCTTTTAAAGAGCAGCATGCAGAAACTTTAACAACTTTTAAAATTCCTATTTGGACATTAATTCCATGCATACTAAATAATCTTTCCAGTTGTTTTCCTAAAATAAAAGTCAAAATGAATAACCTTGCCACCTTATTTAAAAAAAAAATGAAAGTGTGCTCAGCTCAGTTGTTTACTATAAGTATACTTTACTATAAATGCTATCACCTCCTTAATGAGAACAATATAACAATTTGGGAAATATCTTCACTGGAAACAATCAAATTAATACAAAGCATTGATATGTATCATTATCCTTTATTAGATGAGAACTTACAAAAAGTGAGAGCTGGGAAAGTCACAAAAAATCAATAAATTAAATTAGATAACCATGCACTTCTAGAGTTTTCCAGAGATTATACTTGGCTACAGGAAGTTAGCTGGGACTATGTGTTATAGTGGGATCACTGAACCAATTCTTACTACTGTGGGCATTACCTCCTAGATAGTTGTTTGGACGAGGACTGCTTAGGGCTAGATTATGTTTGGAATGCCACAGACCATTTCTGATTTAAAAGACTGATCACCCTCAAAGTAGTGTGGTCCAGAAGAGAATCAGAATACCCTGGAGTTTGCCAGAATGTTCTATTTCTGGAATAGTAAGTTTGTCATACAGCTTGGATTTTGCTCTTGCAACAATTTATTCAAAGCAAAGGAAGCCAAACTACATATTACAAGATTGGCTCCCGGGAGTTGAGTCAGACTGTTCATCACTTTTAGACAATCACTGAAGGAAACACAGTAAGTAAATTGCCAAAATGCCATAGGTAAACACACATCAGAAGGGAGGAAGTAATTGTGAGAAGAATAATGTCTTAATGCATTTATCCCATAGGGCACCTGCTCTATTAGAGCTTAATGAGGTAGTTTCCATTTATTTTAAGTATCACAATAGACAATAAGGTTGAGTTAAGGAAAGATTTCTATTAGATGCAGATGAAGAATATAACAAATAATTGTCCACTTATTTTTAATAGTTACAACTCTACTGTATAAGAGAACTCAGCAGCTTAAATAGATACTGAAAACAATATTTTAAAATATTTTAAAATATGCACACTGTTTTAAAATGTTGCATATTTTATAAACCCACATTTTAATTTTTGAATTTCTAAAAAAAAACCTCATTTCTTTTACTACAGGGACTAATCAGCAGTTTTTAAAAATGCAATTCTTGGTGCTTAAAGATAACAAAGCAGAAGTTCATGCTGGTACATTTCATAAATTTACACTTTGTTTTAATCTAAAATTTTTACATTAAAGATAATTGGAACTGTTGAATGCAAATGAAATTAGGAGATTATTTGCAAAACATTTGACAAAGGGAAATTAGCTGGAGGTTATTTTTTCAGAATTGTCTCCAAGTTCATTTCTAATCTTGGTAGTTAAGCATGAAGCAAGCCATGCTGAGTGATCAGTAAGTTTAGCCTGGAGTATTGGATAAGATCCAGAGTGGGTTGGGTTTATTCAGATCTTAGATCTAAAAATCATAATCGGTGCAAAAGAAGACTTGGCTTTTAACATCTCTTGCAGCAATGAGATTTTTCTTTTTTTGTAGATAAAAAGTGAAATTTGATGTCAATGACAATAGCAAATAGAAGAAAAAATATGCACACAATGCATATATCATGCATAAATACTGTATAAACGCCTTAATCCAACTCATTTTCCCCAAAGAAACATGCTTACATTTGCCCCTATGGTTCAAAAACGTGTTCTAAACAGGGAGTTGTCTAAATGGTGTTGGCCTAAGATCTCTATGGGTCCCGCAAAATGCTCTGGACTCAAAGGTCCACAATTTTTTTTGCCACTTTGGGTTGAAAAATAATATTTAAATCTCATTAACAATTACAATAGAAGCACTGAGTGTACAAATTAAATTTTAATATAGAAAATATTGTTACATATAACTCAACAAAAACAAAAGTTCTTTTGAGTCTTCCATAATTTTTAAAAGTGGGAAAAGTTCCTGGGGAAAACAAATTTAAGAAGCTTTTGTTTAGGCAATCCTTTGATAATATATTTGATTTAGCTTGCCACAAATTCAAGATTGGGGGATCTAATTTTCCATATGTGTCTTGGCCAAGAATGAGGAATGATGAAGGTTGTAGCCCAAAAGCATCTGGAAGGCTACACATTACACACCCTGATTTAGTTTAACAGCAATTTTGTTGGCCTGATTTTTTAGGGTGCATAGTCTTTTTTTTTTTAATTTTTATTTCAGTAATTCATTTTTCGTTTGATAGAGAGATATGAGGGAAAAGCTGTTTCCTCAAATAGAAGTAATCCCTCGGGAAATCTAGATTCCTTAAAGTTAAATGTTTTATTCTGAGATTTCTTAATGAAATTTGGAGATGATATATGATAGGGAGAGGCTGTATGCCTTCAGACATACTCTCCTTTTAGACATTTATCTCTCTTTTCTACCTTATTTTTGGCAAACTTGTTTCATGTCATCTGCATCTGAAAAGAATCATAGCTGTAGTTGCCCTTTAGCAAATTCAGGTGCAGTATTCTTAAACATACATAAATTCCCCTATCCATTCCCTCCCGCTATTATCTTCTTTCATTC